TCATTCAAGCTAGCATTTCTCGCTCAAGTGAGAGTCTCCTTGCTCGAGCAAAATTGAGCCCGAGAGTCACCAAAGTTGTAGCTTTCTCACTCAAGCGAGACATGTCTTGCTTGAGTGAAAATAGTCCAGATTGCTTCCTCTCTCGCAGTTGTTCTTGCTTAAGCGAGATAAGCCTTGCTTGAGCAAAAGTTCCCCTGCAATGTTACCCTCCTTCATTGACAAGTCAACTTTTCTACTCATCTTCTCCTGATCGATTGATTTCTTTTCAATTTTTATACCTAATCCTACATAAAAAGATATATATAAATTATTTTAAAATGGGGAAATTCTTAGTAAAAAGTAAGGTAAAGACGTTGTTAAGTGTTTATAAAAAACTTAGATTTTTAGTAAATTTTGTCACTTAACGCCCATCTTGACCCAATTGGGTATTGAGAAATAAATCGAATTGATAAATTTAATGATGATAATTTTTGTATTTGATAATAATTGAACTATTCTATTAAAAAATATTAATAAATTTAAATTGTCTTATCAATGAATACAATTCAAAATTATTATATTTGAAATTTTTGAAATTTACAAAATATCACCAGAAACACAAAGTAAAATATTTCTTGTAATTATTTTCTTCTAAATCAGAGGGTTATTTTTAAGAAAGAGAAGATATGTTCACCAATTGTCCTTTATTTTATGTTTTTCTTTGAAAATATCTTAATCAAAATAATGCATAGTTTCTATAAGATTTTGACACAAATTACAAAGTGATTAAGCTAAATAACTACTTAATTACATTAATTAGGATAGTTAAACTGGCTTAGATTCCTAAACAAACCATCAATTATAAACTTATAAAAATATTATAAAAAAACAATAGTTTTTTGAAGGCACACTCCTATCTTGGAAGATTACACATTGAATTAACAAAAAAATTTTAAAAAGAAAATATATTGATATGCTAAAGATATTTAACATTTTTATTTATATAATTTTTTAAGATTTGACCAATCATAGAATTGATAAAGACATAGATTTAAGATTTGAAGGTTTAATTGAGATTCAATCAAAGTCTAATCAAATTTAATAAAATAATATTTTTATAATAAATATATAAGAATTTCATTAGTAATAATTTTTTTTATAAAATAAAAAAAATGAAAGTTCATGATTATTATAAGTTACAATAAATATTATAAATATAAAATATATTTAAAAATGTGTAATATGGATAAAAATAAAAACTAAGTAAAATAATTATTGTTAAATTTTGATATATGTAATGTGAGATAAAAAAAATAAAATATATATATTTTTTTAAAATATTATATTAAAAAAATCTTTAATTTTTATTTCTACTAAAATTCGTTCACTGAAAAAAAATCTAATTAGTTTTACCATTGTTCAGTTTTATCCTGATTTAATTTAAATCCGACTGTTTAAAAATAACAAACTAATTTATAAATAATTTTTTTGAACAATATAGTTTAATTTTCAAAATAAAGTTATATTTTTTCGTCTTTTTAAGTTATTTATAAAAATAACATGGTTTGTAACAAATTTTCCTTTGAATAATTACAAAACCTTGGTAAAATATCCCAATAACAAGTTGATGAAGTAGAGATGGAAACTAAACCTTTGTGGTATCGTGTGTTCCCTTTTATATTTAGGAAATATCACTTCTAGAAATGAAGGCTTGGCAGGACTTGGTCTAATTTTCTTTATACGAATGCTTGCATAAATATTTATTAATACGCTACAAATATTGTTTAATTTCCATTTCTTCAAATCACCACCCAACCAAATCCAAGTTTAACTTTTTTGTTCCATTGACTTGATGATGAGCGTCATTATCTCTTTAAACACGCAAAGAGTTGAGACCACATTGGCCCTAGCTTTCTTTTTCTTTTTTTGAACATTCCACCCCAGAATACAAATCACCATGAACAAGTTGCATGGGTTGAAGTCTCACTATCCATGCCAATGGTGGCCTCTGCCTCTTGGCATTGGGGATGAGACGCACCTTATGGCGTCAACTCTTCACCATTGTTCCTTCAACCGTTGCACATGCCGTTAAGATCAAACAACTCTCTCCTGTACCAATGATGTCACTAACATTATTTAACAAACATTTCATTTCACTCCACAAACATAAAACACCTTTTTGTCTCTTCATATGACTAAAAAAATGAAATCATACAATATTGAGATCAATTAAACATTTTTATATACTTATTCTAGAAACTGAACTCTACTTTAATACACTTCATTTCTCTTAATAATTACAATAAAACAGCCATGAATTTTTTTATTTTGAAATTTCAAAACCTTGACCGATATCGTGAGAATTTTCATGTTAAAATTCGGTGGGTCTGGCTCAACTAATGAAATTAATAATATTTAACTAGAACAATTCAAAATGTTTACTCGGGTAATTATTACTTTGCATTCACAATTTAATGATTGTTATGGCCGTAAACGCGCGTTTTGATTACATAAAAATTGCATTCACCATCACCAAAAAAGACTAGAAAAACTTCACATGAGAAATGCCGGCAACTTTATTTTTTTATTTCTCGTGACATAACCACAATATTTTTCAAACGTTGTTCAAAATTATCTCGTTATGGTATTTGTTTATTTATATTCCGTTTTGTAAATTTCTCCGATAAGTCTCCTTTGACTTTCATCCATGATCAGTTTTAGTATACCTTTTAATATGGAACATATAGTTATGATTGATTTAATTATATATTTAAACAGTTTGTTGTTTCTGTTTTCTTTAGGTAATAAATAATATTATTTTAAAGAAAAATATTTATAAAATTTAATGATAACTAAGTATATTATTATATTTTCCTTATTATGTATTTATTAAGTAATTGAATTTGTTAAAATATTCAATATTTGACTATATATTAACTTTAATAGTATTCATATAGTAGATTTTATTTGATCATGTATGCATATATGATGCACAAATAACTTGTCTTACATTCCAAATAATTTAAGTATACATTAAAACATCATAATAAGATATCTATATCAAGCTTAGTTGATCCGTACATTGTATATGGGTAGTACATTCTTACGTCAAAAAAATCTATTTTTTTATGTCAAATCCTCCGCGTAATAGCTCCATGCTTGCAATTGATTAAATTAAATGAAACATGAAATTGGAAAACAATTGATAAAAGAAAAAAAAAAAAAAAACAACATAAACACTTCCTATTCGTCTACTTCTATCTCCTATTGTTTTGGTTTGTTAGTGTGATGGTGAATATAATAGTAATACGTTAAGTGTATCTGACAAGAAAATTGAGCAACTCTAATTCATATGATACGATGAATAGTTGAGATTCAAATATTAACTGGTGGGTCTTGAACTTCTGCCATGAAACCTCAGTTAACGTTGGCAAGAGATTGTCTTCCAACTCTTGAACCCCCACAAAGTAAGTGAACTTCTAACGAGTAATATTTTCTCCAACAATATTCTGTTCAGTTTCTGAGTAAATTCACGATTCATGGTAATAATTTTTTTAGCTGAATCGACATTTGACAGTCTATAACTAATTTTTTAAGATGCTGAAATCCATTTGAGTCTAATCGCACCCACATAGGGTTAGCAAAAGTTGTAGTATAGTAGCATCAAATGGCAGAAAATGGTTACTTGGTTTTCAGGAATGGCTTTTGATTTGATTTGGGCAAAAAATCACCCCACCCTTTTAGTTTTAAGCAATCTTATTTCCTCAATTAGCATGTTTTAAGGCTTACCTTTTTCTAATAGAAGATAAAGTGAGTGGAGAGTGCTATGTGCTGGGCAAGTAACACTTTTTCTTATATCAATTCTTGTTGCTTCTAATTGCAGGTGGGATTCGTTTTTGACCCAAAATCACGCAGTGGGGCAGATTTTTGACTTGGTTTCACTACGGGATACTCTAATGTTGTTTCACCCAAATCCAAGAAAAAAAAAATAGAAGAAGAAACCTTTCAACTTTCCCCATTCGCTAAAAAACATTGACTTACTGAATCCAAAGATCACCGACTGAGTCCAACTTAAGAAAACCAAATAAAAAATGTCTCAAAAATTTCCTTAACACCAAACACTTTAATCAACCTCGCAACTCCGAACATTTGACACGTTTCAAGCCACAAATTGTTACATAAACTACAAACCGTTGGAACTGCATACCAATTGACCAAATCAGATTCTTATTCATTTTTAAAAAGCCAAACCTCTTGTTGTTTTCTGTCCTTCCACAAAATATATGCCTAATCTCGTATATTTAGGTCCAAAAATAAAGTTATACCAAGATATTATTCTGCCACCGATTTGGGTAAGCATTAGTGCGGAGAGTTCACTGTCTCACAATGAATCCTTTGATGGCGAAATTTTCTTGTTCCCAAGTTTCCTTCTTCTTATAACGTGGATTGAAAACTTTCTGGAAGTAAGAACAAAATCTTAGTGGTGGAGTGGGTTTGGCTGATTTGGCATTGATGGGTGCTAGAAACCTTGTTATGCTCAAAACACACATTGAATCTATCAACTTGTCTTTTGCTAATGGTTTTGTTTATGAAAACGTTCTTTGGGTCATGGCTTCTCTTTGGGTTTTCTTCTACAACTATGTGCTGTATTCCTTGGGCTTGATTCTCAGACATATCTTCAGGTTTGATGATTATTGCTATTTAGAGTTTTTTGTTGGCTATAACTTGAAAATTTAAAAATGATTCCCTTTATTTCATGTTTCAGATTTCATGTAGAAAATAGGAAAAGCCAGCACGATCTACTCGATCAAACCAAGAGAAATCAGATTGAAGATTATAAGGTTGATGGGATCGCAGAAGAGTTAGCTAATTTTCTATTTCCAATCTTGGATAATTTTCATGTAACAGTTTATGAAATAGAAGGAGAAACAAAGAGTCCTGTTTTATTGGAGACGGACTCTGGTATAAATATTCACGAAGATGCTAATAATTTAGAAGGAGAAACAAAGTCTTCTGTTTTAATGGAGATAGACTCTGATGTTCGTCAGGATGCAAAGAAATTAGAAGGAGAAGTAGAATGCTCTGTTTTAAAGGAGAAAGACTTGGATATGGATGAAGATGGTAAAAGAAGAGAAGGAGAAATAGAGGGGTTTGTTTCCATGGAGACAGTCTCGTATGTTCATGAAGTTGTTAAGAAAATAGCTGAAAATGAAGCAGATAGCTCTGTTTCCATGGAGGGTGATTTCAATTTCCTTCGGGAAGTTGAAGGAGAAAAAATAGAAGATTCTTTATTCACAGATAGTGACTCTGCTGAAGCCAATGGTTTGGCAGAAGAACCAAGTTTCATGACCTTCTCTTTCCAACGAAATTATATAGCTCCAGATGTTTCCCATAATCTATTTTCCAATAATGAAAATATTTTCAAAATGGAATCTTCAGAGCTTGATTTGGAGGAAGGCATTGTTCCTCGAGAAGAAGAGAATAATGAGCACTCTATTCAAGAACAGAGAAATATCACATCCAATTCCACTTTTGGTCCAATCCTTCAAAGTAATACCTTTTGTACCAGTGATTCATTTGATGATGATGACGACAACATTTTAAACGATAGCACATTCCAATCTGATTTTGGGTCAAAATCATGCAACAATACCATTGATTATTCGGTAGCACTTCAAATTCTTAGTTCAAACCATTCTTGTGAAGAATATGGTTCTGAAAGTCTCGAGGGAAGTAAAGATGAAAGAGTTGAATTCCGAGAAGAACCTCAATATTCATGTGACCATGAAGCCTCACGCGGTCTAAGTTGTGATCTTGATGAGGATAAAGATAAAAAGGAAAGTTCTTCATACCATGGAGAAGACACCATGTGGGAAGGTAAATGGGATGAATCAGATTTTGATGATGAAGAAGATGACGATGACTTCGATTGGGAACATGACGAGGTAGTGGAACAACTGAGAATGGAACTGAAAAATGCAAGACAAGGAGGGCTTTCCACTATTTTAGAAGAAGAGGAAGAAGCGCAAACAGAGTCTCCGAAAGTTGTTGAGGATCTACAGCCATTGAAGATTGAGAAGAAGATAGAATTCAAGGATCACATTGTTGAAATCCAAAGGGTTTATAGGTGCTATGCAGAAAAAAATCGGAAACTGGATATTTTGAATTACCAGACCATGCATGCAATTGGTGAGTACCGAGTTAATTTCATTTCACTCGCATGCATTTCACCTTACCTCGTTACAATTTCAATGTTCTGGTAATTTTTTCAGCATAATTTTTAGAGACTAAACAAGTTAATATCATTTATTCATAAATCAGATGGGTGCTTTACTACTATGCCATTCAAAATACGATGAAGTTTTTCGATATCAATTTCATTAGTTGTTCAGTCACATGATCTTTTTTTCATTTATGCAAGTTTTTTCAGGTAAGATTGGAAGGTTTTCTTATTTTTCTTTAGGACTCATAAAGCTTGCTATTATAATTTTTGTCCAATCAAAACGCCACAAAGTGTTTTCAATTCCATTGACTAACCCAGTCTTTTTCATGTGTATCACAAGTCTACCCCTCACACATTAAACCATTAAAATATCAACGCCGGAAATCAGTTATCTCCCATAAAGTATACGAAAAGGATTTCGGAACCTTCAAATATTACTTTTCAACATTGACTAAATTGGGTTACGAATTTCATACTCTAACCATAAACCTTTTTTTTTTCAAAAAGTAAATAAAAGCATTTATTTCTTTAGCAACAATCTTGTTGTTCCTTCCTGATTGACTTAACCACCGACATTGTTGATGCGTGTAGGGTTTCTTCAACTAAAAGACCGTCCAAAATTAATTTTAATCCCAAAGTCTACCGTCCAAAGTGTGAAGCCTCAAATATCCCAAAATCTGTGGCCACGCAAGGCAGTGAAACAGGTATCTGATCCAATAGTGAAGTTCGTTGAAGATCTGCATAGAGATTTGGAATTGGTGTACGTTGGTCAAGTTTGTCTCTCGTGGGAAATGTTGTGTTGGGAGCAGAAGAAGGTTGAAGAGTTACAACGATATGATTCTCAATGGCCTCGTAGCTATAATCTTGCAGCGGGTGACTTTCAACTCTTTCAGGTCCTCATGCATCGCTTCCTGGAGGACGAGCCATTTCAAGAACCAAGAATTCAGAATTACAACAAGAACCGTTATGTCATTCGCAACTTGCTCCAAGTTCCACCCATTAAAGGTAACAAAAACTCAACTTTTTTAAATTCTAATTTTAATCCTCTAACTATGTTAAATTAGTCCACTAATTTTTTATATGATTCTTATAAATAGTTTTGTCATCAACAGAAATATTTAAATATTTTTAAAAATTGGAAGATAGTTTTCGTCAATTTTAAAATAATTTTCTTAAAAATAGATAAAACCAAAATCACAATTTTCTTTTATGAATTTATCTACTCTTTATTATCATTTATTATTATTTAAGAAGAACAAGGCCCAGTTTTAAATATATCACATCAAAAACAGAGATGACACGTAATGTTTATGTCTACATAATCTTATATTATGAAAAGTAAAACCAACAAAAACTACTTAAATAAATCAAACTAACTTAAAAAATTGTAATGAAGTATGCTCTTGTTACTTTGTACAGATGACAATTCGAAGGACAAAAAATTAATTAAGTCAGGTGAAGAGTATGCAATGAATGGCGAAAGGTTGGGAGAAATCATCAAACAGTCCATGCAGGTGTTCTGGGAATTTGTGAAAGCGGATAAAGATCATGGCAATGTGATCAAAGCTTCTCATAAAACAGGAATTGATCTCAAGGACCAAGCAATTTCTGATCTTCTTAGGAATGTTCGAACTCAATTGCAAAAGGTTTCTTTCTAGAAAAACTTACATTTTTACTATGTTGACTTGACACTATTAGATGATTACAGTTGACAGTTGACGATCTTGGTTGAATTGCAGAAGGAGAGAAAGCTGAAGGACATAGTAAGGAGTGGGAATTGCATAGTGAGGAAGTTCCAAAAACACCATGAACATCAAATCCCACTTGATCAAGAACAGTTACTTGCTCAAGTTGGACTGAGATTGGTCTCAAGGGTGTTACACATGAAAAAATTAAGAAAAGAACAACTAATGTGGTGTAATGAAAAGTTGAACCGAATCAAATTTGTTGGCAGAAAGGTTCAAGTGGAACCTTCTTTATTGTTTTTCCCTTCTTGATTCATTCATCTAGCCCTCCCACCATGTATATTCTTGGATGTATAGACAACAGTTTTCGCAGAAAATTACATTAAATATTTTTGTTAGGACTGTCCTTAATCAATGAATACTGCAGTTTAATAATTGGACCGACCATCAAACGAATTGATTTATTAAATTGTTAGGTCATTGGTTGAATCAATATGTCAATAGTTAAATAACATGAATAAGTTAAAAATGAGATAATTAATATATACAAAAATCTGGGGCAAATATATCCATCCACTAAAGACCTTGGCTTCAACTTTAGGCTTGTGCACTATATTATATTTCATTTCGTTTGAATTTTCCTAGATGTTTAGAGTTGTATAATTTAACACTTAGGTTCCAGGCCAATCCATCACAATGGTCCAAGGGCTTTTAGCCCACTTAATGTGGAGTTGAAATACATTTTTCATCTACTTCTATATCCTTATTTTTCAATATTTATCTAATATTATCTTTGTTGTCAAATGAATTTCGAATTTATTTTTTCAAAAACTTTTCTAAATAAACTTTGTGTATTTAACTTTTGTGAAAGTTTTTTAAAATAAGCTTGTATATTTTAGATTGATTTTTTCTTTTAATTTTTCAAAAACATTCTATAAAATTTTTGGAAAGATCAATCTAAAATATTTTTAGAAATTTTTGAAAAAATAATTTAAAAATGTAAATCATACATATAAAAAATAGATTTTGAATTTAATTTTTCAGAAACTTTTTAGATTCATTTTTTTAGAATAATAAAATTATATTATAGATTTCAGAACTTAAAAAATTTATATATTTTTAGATACATTCATTCTATTTTTTTTTAATTCGAAATACTCTAAAATATGTTTCTACATCATTGTAAATCAACAAAAATATGATTATTTTTTTCAAATAAATATGAAATACAAAAGAAAATATAAAATATAAGAAGAATGTGACCTAAAAATATCCTACTAATAGACACGGTCTACTTGGTAGGATGTCAACAAACACCAAGACGAAAATTGGATCAGATTATAAGTCATGATTATTTTTAATTTTTCAATTAACCAGAAAAATATTTTCGACCTAATAATATACATTCGTAATTTTAACTCTCCAATTTCAATTGAAATTGAAGTTATTTACAATTTAATATGTAGTAAGTAGTCTCCCTAGTTTATTAATGTTAATAATTGCTGCTACCAATAAATATTGATGTCTATATGATAAAATTGATGAAAATATTAAAATTGTTCGGGATATTATTAAAAAACTACGATAGAAAAACTTAATAAAAATGAAAGAGAAAAAAAAGAAAAAAAAAGATTATGAAGCAAATATTATGTAAATATATTATTAATGAGAATATATATATATATATATATATATATATATATATATATAAACAATTTATTGAACAAAATGGTATATTAATTTTTGTGTAATTTGAATATTTGGAACTATTATGAAACTTTTAGAAAAAAAAAAGTTCCTACTCCTTACAACACATTTGTCTTAAGGTTAGAAAGAATAAAATAAGAGTTTTTTTCACCTACATATTTTCATTATATATATATATATATATATATATATATATATATATATATATATATATATATATATTCCAAAGAGAATTGTTTGGGTATAATTATATTTTCTTTGAGCAAAATATTGATAGGAGTTCAAATACCTTATTTTTTTAAGAATATTATTCAGATATAAGATATTAGTTTTTACATAATTAATTGGATAAAATAACTTAAATATAAAAATATTTTATTAAATATTATAGTACTATGAATAAAATTTAGGAAGAGGAAAAAGAAAAAAAAGAGTCAAGTAGTTGACATTTTTCCTTTATCTTAATAATCATAATCATAGTGAATAGTAAAAGTAAGTTTTATTTTCTATTTAGCGAGATAAAAAAATATATGTAAATCTCGCTTATATTCAATCTTAAGAAAACAAGTTATATATAGGGTAACATTTCAACAAATTTAAATATATTTATAATAAAATAAGCATATATTAAAAGAAATTTGTTATTATTGTTAAATTATTATAATATATATATATATATATATATATATATATATATATTTGTTATATTTATAAAAATAAAAGAAAAGAAATATATTAAATATTTATTTATTTATTTGTTATATTTATAAAAAGAAAAGAAAAGAAATATATTAATTATTAATTTTCTTAATATATATATATATATATATATATATAAATATAAAAGATAAAGTTATCTTATCTTAAAAGATAAACCTTATTAAAATTATAATTACTGTATTTATGGTTACTTAATTAAATAAATAAAAAGAAAAAGAATTTGTTATAAAAAGGGACAAGGGAAGAGAAGAAAGAAGGAGAGAGAAATAGAAAGAGAAAGGGAGAAAGAGAAAGGGAAAAAGATAAAGAAAGAGAGAAAGAGAAAGGGAAAAAGATAAAGAAAGAGAGAGGGAGGAAGAGAAAGAGAGAGAAAAAAAAAGAGAAAGGGAGAAAGATAAGGAGAGAAAAGAAAGAGAAAGATAAAATCGTTTCTGCAAAATTTTGGTACCTCATCTGCAGTTCTTAAGGTATATGAGGAGAATATTATCATTAAATCTATTTTATTTTACTTATAGTTGTGGAGTAAGGTGTCTCTAACCTCATTCTATTTATTTAGTTATTTGTTTATTTATCTCTAACTACGTAATGGTCCTGCTTTATGCTTATTTATTTTATCCTCAGTCTTGCACTGGTCCTATTTTAATTATCTCCAGTTATGTACTAGTCCTGTTTGTTTATTTTATTTTATCTCCAGTCTTGTATTGGTCTTATTTTAATTATCTCCAGTTATGTATTGGTCCTGTTTGTTTATTTTATTTTATCTCCAATCTTGCACTGATCCTATTTTAATTATCTCCAGTTATGTACTGGTCCTGTTTTTTTATTTTTTTTTATCTCCGGTCTTGCACTGGTCCTATTTTAATTATCTCCAGCTTATGTACTCGGTTCTGTTTGTTTACTTTATTTTATCTCTAAGTAATGTAGCGATCCTATTTATTAATTTATAGTTATATTATTTAATTATAATAATATCTATTTGTGAAGATTTGATGATATTATAGATGGAGGTTGGACCTTGGGGATTTAAATGAGTAAATATCACTGGGAGAGTGATTAAAATTGAGCTCATTTATCCTGACTAGTCACTACAAAATTTAATTTAAATCTTCATAAAATAGAATGTGTTGAAGAAGTTGAAACATATATATCTATATATTATAAGATTGTATTATTGTAAATGATAAATGTTCTCACTCCCTATTGTGATATTTTTTGCATGTTTTATTTAAACATCAACTTAAGTAGATAAAGGTACCAAATATTCCAAATCCCTTTTCTGCAAGCATCACTGCCTTCTTTCCAGGAACACGAATGTCATAGACAACTCAGTTACTTTTAGAGGGACATGATTATCAATAATAACATTTGTATCCGATATGAGAAATCTCATTATGTTAGATGGACCCGTAATTGTTACCTTTTGTATGTCTCCTATCTTTTTCCAAAATCCCTTAATCAGTTTGTTTCCACCAAGCAATGTAGATATTTGTAAAATTGTAGAAAAAATAGAAGGAATCAAAAATAAAATTCCTTCTTCTTTTTTATATCTTATATATATATATATATATATATATATATATATAGTGATGTAAATTACTTTTACATATATGTAATATTTTTTTTACCTGCTACTCTTATACAAATAATAATAATAATAAAAATGTCACATTAGATGGTATCAGAGCCAGGTTTTATGTGTGACCTGTAAAATGAGACTATCATGATATCTTATGAATCCTAACTTATATAATTTCAGATAGCAAATAATAGAAGGAACAACGAGTTGACAGAAGCGGTACAAGCTATCCGAGACATGACCGCTGCATTATTAAGGAACCAAAGACCTAAATGAACCAATGGATCGCAAGGTTTAGTTGAATTTAGGAGAAATAAACCTCCGCAATTTTCTGGAAGTTATAACCTAGAAAATGTTGAATTATAGATTAAAGAATTGGAAAAAACATTTCAAGTTATGAATTGTCTTGATAACCAAAAGGTAAATTATGTTGTGTTTATGTTGATAGGAGAGGCTAAATATTGGTGGGATAGTACCAGGATATTACTAGAAGGAGGAAGAATAATCATTACTTGGGAGGTGTTTAGAACAAAATTTTTAGAAAAATATTTTCCCAATGATGTGAGGAGGGCAAAAGAAATAGAATTTATGCAATTAAAGCAAGGAAGTATGACAATAGGAGAATAGGCCTCTAAGTTTGAAGAGCTAGGAAAATACTCTGCATTCTTTTATCACCCTGATGAAAGAATGAAGTGTATAAATTTTGAGAATAGACTTAGGCCTGAATTGAGAAAAGTAGTAGGAATACTAGAAATTTATGATTTTCCTACGCTTATTCATAAATGCAGATTTTTGGAAGATTTTGAAAACCATCCAAATAGTAAACCAAAATCTTTTGGACCCCAGCATAATAAAAGGAGACAAAATGAAGGAAAACCTTACAACCGTCCCCAATAGAGATCCCAACCAAGCTAATTTTCTGTAGGAAATTTTAATAAACCTGTAAATAGTCAGCTCAAGTGCTTCAAGTGCGGACAATATCATTATGCTAAAGATTGTCATCTTAAAGGACCTGTCTGTTTCAAGTGTGGAAAACCTGGTCATATATTCTCTGAATGTTGGCAACAAAAACTAAATTCTGATCCTTTTACACCAAAAAGAAGACCTCCGATAACAGGAAGAGTATATACCATGAATGGAACTAAAGCTTCTCAGAATAATGATTTGATCCAATGTATGTGTTTCATTAAAGGCAAAACTTTAAATGTACTGTATGACTCAGGCGCAACTCATTCATTTATTTCCAATGATTGTGTCCAACACCTTGAATTGTCGACTTCTTTTCTAGATACTAGTTTGATTGTTTCAA